GGGCAGTGTGTGTGCGTGCGTGTGTGTGTGTGTGTGTGTGTGTGTGTGTGTGTGTGTGAGAGAGAGAGTGTGAGTGTGAGTGTGAGTGTGAGTGTGAGGGTGAGGGTGAGTGTGAGTGTGTGTGTGTGAGCGGGTGTGTGTGTGTGAGGGTGAGTGTGTGTGAGGGTGAGTGTGTGTGAGGGTGAGGGTGAGGGTGAGGGTGAGTGCGTGTGCGTGTGAGTGTGTGTGAGTGTGTGTGTGGTAATCCATTTGCCAAAAAAAAACATGGTTACTGTACTTTTACTTTAGTAAAAGCATGGTTATTTTTTGTAAGGGAAAAACATGACTCATGTTCAGTAGGATTTTTCTATAAAGATATTGTAGTGATGAACTAATTTTGACATGTAGGCAATTTAGAAAGTATAGTTTTGTTAGATCTTGAGTATTAAAGTCATGTGAGAGAGAGACATCAGGGCAAAATAAAGAGACTGAAAAGAAAAATGTAAGTGAAGGTGCAGTTCAGGAGAGAACTTTTAATTATTTTGCATGTCCCCAACCTGAGGATTTAAACCTTTTTTATGTGAGGTCCATACAAAACATAGCGTCGTCCGTGTTTCAGAATGTGTTGTGGGTGTATGAGTGAGAGATTTCCCGGCCTGAATGATTTTCCCAGTCCACCCCTCGTGGAAATTAATGGTGCAGACATACGGTTTCATTCACTACACATAGACCTACTGAAGCTCGCGGTGTTTTCAGCCTCTGCCACCTCAATATATGAGTATATGAACACATAAACATAATCTCTAGAACCGCTCTGACTCACTTCATCAGCATTTGACTTATTTTGAGAAAACTATCATCATATCATATACAAAGAGACACCAATGTTTCAGGAGTTTAGTACACAGAATAGAACACATGCTTATTAGATAACCGTATTTGAGTTGATGTATATGCTTTTATTTATTATTATTTTTTAATTAACTATTTATTTTCCAAACCATTGTTAGATGCAGTGTTTCCTGTAGTTATGCAAAGATTTGGTTTCAAAAACAGTATCAGTAAACTATTTCTTATGATTTTAATTAAATCTGCATTGAACTTCAGATCAATCTCAAAGCAAAAGGCGGCACTAAAGTCTGATTTTGTGGTGGATGTGTTCAGTTATGATCATCTTAATTCAAGAGAGGAAGGATTGTGAAAGTCTGACGGTGTGAGCACTACTGTAAGGTTAACCCTGCATGCTGTAAATGTTTGAAAATGATTAACAGTTACAAATAAACACTCATTAGGAATTTAGAAAAGTAATCAAGATGTAATCAGTTACATTACTTTAATAAAGTAATTGAAAAAGTTACACTACTATTACATTTTAAATAGGGTAACTTGTAATCTGTAACCTGTTACATTTCCAAAGTAACCTTCCCAGCACTGCTCATGTCAGAATTTGCATAATTATGAGGCGGTTAGTCAGAATTCATTCTGAGCTCTTCACGTCCTTGGACTTAGAGATGATTGGTTTCTATGGCAACGCTCATAATGCTCATGGATTCATGCTGATTCGTCATCACTAGAGGCTCGTGTATTAATCTACTTCATGCTTTTGACCTGCATTGTGAGCTGTGAATATAGTGAAGTATGAAGTATTCCTGCAGCTCAAGCAGTAGATCATGACGCTCGCAACGGCAAGGTCCCGGGTTCGATTCCCAGCAATGCATGAACTGATCTAATGTATAGCTTGAGTGCAATATAAGGCTCTTTGGCTAAATGTAAATCTGTTTTTATTTTTCTTAAATTCCAATTCTGTGTTTTCTGTTTACATTTTTCTAATTCTATTTAACAGGATAATTAATTTTTAATAATCAAAAAGCATGTCAAAACAATTGAATTAATAAAACTTTAACAATCCTTTGAAATATAACCAGATGAAAATATAATTCCTTTACAACAGAACATTGCATTTTTTGTCAAAGAAAATTGTATCGATCATTTCTGTTACTGACAGACTTTATATTTCAGAAACAGTCACAGCCGCTCGTTCATGCCATTGTACAGCCCTACTTTTGATTTATTCATCTGAATAGACACATTTTGTGGCATTCCATGTTTTACAGTAAAGGATGACGTGAATGAGGCTGATGAAACTGCGTGTGTGTGTGTGTGTGTATGTGTGTGTGTTTCTTCACTGACTGATTGCTTTGACATGCACCTGCTTGTCCTGTCGGAAAATTAAGGCAACATTAAGAAATAGCTCTAATTAAAATCAGGACGCACGCACACACACACACACTCACACACATTCACACACACACACACACACTCACTCACACACACTCGCACACTCGCACTCACACACATTCACACACACTCAC